TATGTCGGGGGAGTGTGCCCTAACCTCGGGCGAGGTCATTGAGGTACATTTTCTAGCGGCACCACTAACACCAACTAGAGAAAAGGTTGACGTAGTACAAAAGAGGGAAGGTTGTGGAAATCACCCTATTTAAAATTTGCAAGTAAGCGATTATTCCCGTGGTTAATTTATAAGACCAATTTTGCTTAATATACCGACATAAGCGGTTTTAGTATGCGGCGGCCTTCCGAGGACCTCTCTGCAGGTCAATGCCATCATCAAATCCCTGCTGGGTCGACGGATGGCGTGTAGAAAACTGAAAGATTCAGGGTAATTCAACCTACTTAAAACATTTAAGTAGATGGATATACTACATAAGGACCTTTCAAAGACCCCACTTGGAAACCCTACTGAAAGTGGAACAGAGAGTGAAGTAGATGCTGTGAAATTCTAGTCTCGCCCCAATCCAGCGCAAGTCACTGTTCCTGCACTACCTTGGTGTGCAGCATACAGTGAACCACGTCGAAAACGAAGATCGAATTGTCAAAGTTATGTCCCACCTGTCTTAAGAACTCTAGCTATGGGCTTAATGTCAGAACGTATTTACATGTGACTAGTGTAATATCTTCCTCGGTGACAGTACTCAGGGGATCCAAGGTCCACTGCCGTTTTAGGGAAGGGAAAAACACCTGGAGTAGTTCATTCTGGGCAGAGTCTTGGTGAGATGAGAAACCTCAGTGAACAATCGGCTCTGGGCTTGGATGCGCGTCAGCCCACTAGAATGACGTGAGCGTAAATGAATGAGCATCCTGTAGGAGTCAATTAACATCTGTTTGTTTTGTAGTCAAGCTTATGGACGCCTGTGATTTTTTGTTCCGAAGATTGCATGTACATATGTTCCAGCCGCTCAGAAACGGTGGTTACATACTACCTAACCCAGGGACGGAGGATTTATACACACAAGGCGCTACACTAGTAACACGGGTTTAGACAATTCCTCAATTATATACAGAATGGAATTGCGCAGAAAGCCAGGAGAGTCCGCAATGATCGTTTCTAGCTTGTTAGCCGTCATCAGCCAGCCATACCCAGCTGTAGGTTTCACAGCCCATGAGCTTCGACCCCAAGACCTGTTGGACAGAATTTCAATGGTTTAAGCACAGAGCCGCGGGCTCTTTGTCCTCAGTTACTTATGTCTCTACTTGCATACCTAATGTTAGCGTAGATGACTACCTCATTAGCCCTTGATTTCTTCCGTTTTTAAAACGAAGTCAACCGTTTCTTACGTGTCCTATTGCTACGACGTGTGACAATGTCGACGTATATAGAGATGGTCAGTCTGCGTTTACAAGATGCCTCAGCTTTGACGCTTGACTACAGAGAAAAATGCGATCCTGGTCTTACATTTCCCGTAGCCTTTAGGAATAACGTCAGCTGAACCTCGAGGATACGCTCATGTGATTCTCAAGGATGTATGACAGTAGTTTAAGCTTAGATACATTAAAATACCTGATCGTATACAATTATGCAAAGCTGCTTAAACCTATTTCGACTTCTGGACTGTTGTATACCTTTCGTCAAAGAGACCTTTTGTTCCTGGCCTTTAAAGGCCAGTTCAAAATCCCACTCATCCCTTGAAAAAATCTCCCGAAAGGCTGTATGAAAGTGTTACGATTAAACAAGTTCTCTTCTTCCATAGTGTATACCAGTCTATCTTGACATCTCTTCAGGCTTGATCGTTTGTTGGTGAAGGCCAAGGGCATGCTGGAGACTTTCGAACCCTATCTCGGGCGCATCGAAATAACCAACAAAGGTGGCAGCATAGAGCGCGTGTACTTTGAGATCTGCCAGCAGAACATTGATCAGTGGGAGAAACCTCAGATCAAAGACTCCAAACGTGCCTTCTTACATACGGTTGTTGGCGAGAGTGGTGACAAAGAAAAACTGGAGTGCTTCGTCAATTTCGCCGAGGACACCATCTTCGAGATGCAGCACGCTGAAGAGATCAGTGGGGACGATGACAATCTTCAAATCAGTCGGGTATGTTTACTCATCAAGTTTAAGTACTGAAACGGATATGGGTGTCAGCTCCAAATCTACTAATTTTCTAGATATTCGGCGGACAGTATATGCGGTCCGGCCAGCAAATTTAGATCCTTAAAACTAAATGGATTGTGAAATTCACCTCCTGAGTGTCTTTTGTATTCAGATAATAAATAAAAACAGCTTTCACCCCCTCACCCATATTTTTACCTCAGATCACCGAATACCTTCTGTTTAATGTCTGTCCAGGTTGTTGCAGTTCGAAACTTCTTGGAGGCCACCCATCTCGGCTATGTGGGCTACTTCCTCGCCTTTATTCTGAGTTTCTTGCAACCTTCTCAACTCCTCAGCTGTTGGTCTGCGCTCATCAAAATGTCCTTAGTCGACATTGTTACCGGTCTGTTAGGGTTGATCATTGGTCTAATGATTGGCCTGACACGACTAGTTCGCGCTATAGTCTGCTTCTGCGGACGCTTCTTCATTGCCATGGCATCTGATCCAACAGCGACAGTCCCCAGTTCTACCTCACCGGCCGTCAGCTCAAGTTCAGGCGTCGGCGGAGGTGGTGGTGGTGGTGGCGTGGCACGCTCTGCAAAGACCGCCACAGATGCTACAGAATCTGGGCGAAATGGAGGCAAGAGGCCCTCACAGACTGGTATCAGTGCCGGTGATGGCAGCGGAGGTGAGGTGAAAACGGAGTCTACCAATGCTGCCTCTGCTGCGGCACCCGTGGACATTGTGGAAATAATGCAGGTACGTTAACCCTTTCTGGTCTTCATCCTCTGCCACGGGACGTTTAGCAGGAGCAGACTGGCGACACTTCATGATGTCTGGACTGATTTGTTGACCTCGCTCCTTTCATCTGAGAATGATCCTTGAATTGGGCTACCATGACGGGGATCACCGTTCTTACGATTGGTTTTGTGAACGTAAAAGGCTCTCATTTTTCTGTTTTTCTGAGAGTGCTATCAAGCTGGAGAAGGCTATTGAATTCGGAACTCAGCGAGTGGGCTAGGTTGAGGACACAACCTTTTTGAGTCGGAGGACATGATAACCTGATAACAAGCATTGGCGTGATCAAATCATAGGTATAGGCTGCAAGCCGGTAAGGCCTTGCTCCCAGCCGATGAGCCTGCAGGAATCGAGTCACCAGTAGCGATGACAGGGGGGAGGGCTATGCCGATATGTGTATGGCCCGCGTCTGCGGCATTGCACCAAATGTACATAGGTTTTGCTACCGTATTGCCGCAAGAGGCGAGCCCAACCTAAGCAGTAGCTTGACGCTCTGACGGGACTGAATTTCCAGAAGAGATCCTAATG